ACACAACATCAGGTCAGAGCGGGGGGCTCGGTGGTACTATAAAACCCCCCCAAGACTATGACTTCCAGTAAAATTGAGATGCCAGGGGAGGTGAAGGCAGATCCTGCAGCTCTGATGGCATCTCTGCATCTGCTGCCTTCTCCCACTCTCAACCTTGAAATCAAATACACCAAGGTAAGTTGTGTTCGTTTGTTCTGGCAGGGAAATTCATGGCTTTCCCTCCAAAGGAGGGATTTTACTTAAAATCAGTTTCATTCTGCCCTAACCAACTTGAGTGTAGAGATTAAAAAACTACTAAAAGACTGCCTTGAATCTGTAATAAAGGAAACAGATTTTTACCCTGTAATCATCTGAAAAACACAAGATAGTAGAAAAGCAAATTAGATCTGTTGGGACTGGCTTTGCCGCTTCTCTTTAAATGTAGTATTTTCTACAGAGCTCTTGGGGTTTATTTTCAGTGCAAAATCAGTAGTTCTCAAATGTTTCAGTCGCTTTTGATGTACTTCAGAGGAAGTTACTGTACATACCTGCATATCTCAATCAGAAAATAAAAATGTTTTCTTTCTTGAATTACCCTCTGTGCCCAAGGGAGTCTTTCACAATTCCTGGAGGACTCTTTAATACTACCAGGTTGTTACAGCCCTGGAACAGGTCTCTCTACTAACTTCCGTGATACTTGAATACACCCTTAAACCATATTGCAAGAGGGCATATTTTTTCCTACTAACCTTTAAGACTGATTTTCATAAAGAGAGGGTTAAGAACAAACCCATTGGGTCAATGTAGAAAAATCTGCTGTTCTTCTATGGTGTGTTATGGGACTAAATTGGTTTTGTCCATTAAAATGGGCTTTAAGAACAGTCATTTGTTTGTAAATGCAATTTGAATTTTTAAATTCGTTTACGTATTTTGAATCTTTGCATCTTTAGTATCTTACTTAAAGAATGTTTTCATTTCTGTTGGGGAAGTTTCAAATGTATAAACAGATTACAATGTGTCAGACTTTGTTTCTAATTACCGAGTAACTTAATGGGAAAATAAGCACATCAGCACTGGAAAAAGGTGATAACATTTTTATCTACTGGAAATACAACTTCAGGAGCTTTAAAGCTGATAGGAAACTCATTTTGGCTGATGTTGTGTAATTTTTTCCTCTGTATCATCACTTTAAAAGCTTTTCATCTTTTCTCTTTTTTTAAGCGGGTGCCAAAACTAATTTGTCCTCTAAGTCGATATAGCAATTCCACGTTCTGGAAGAATGTTTCAGAGGAAAGTCAACTATTGTAGATTTCGTTACATTTTAATGCAAGCTGTAATATGCAAATTAAAAGATGCATATGGTTTCTTGCATAGAATTTCTTTGAGAATAGTTTAAATAAATAAGGAGTGTAGTTATTTGATGTTGTGTGGTGTTACACTTTGGGAGCAATCATACTGTGCAAATAGTATTTGGCATGGATTTTATTATTGCTGGTTTCAGTGTAAAATATGCTTCCGGAGTGTTCGGTGGGTAATACATGAGAGTAGTATCACAGTCAGTTTGCATAATAAGCGTACTTGCGTATCTCTGCTCTAAAACTAGAGAACAGGTTCTAAAAATCTTTGAAAAAGGTAACAGTCATCAGCAGTCATATCTTCCTATCTGTGAGAACGTAAACTGCATAGTAACCTTTAATAATTCAGGATATATAGTGCTATCATCTCAGAAATATGTAAGATGTTATACATCTTATACTAATGGAACAAGTAAAAGAAAGCTATTTTATTTCAACGTTAAGCCAAAAACAACAGCAAGATGTTTCTTCTGAGCTTGGTTTTGAGATATCAGGTAACTCCTGGTTGCTTTTGAGAGAAATTTGGTTTAGGACAGGTATCGAATATTTCACTTGGCATATTCTCTGTCTCTGTTTTTCTGTCTGTCTCGCTCTTCCCTCCTTTTTCTCTTTCTCTGCAGGAAATACAAGTGATTTATAGATAATTGGAGTCTTCAGCTCGGAGTCTTGTCTTGGGCAGGACTTTTATCTAGGATCCACTTTCCCACCTATTACAAAGAAAAACAATCAAAAATGAAATAATGGATTGTAACTTGATTCTTTCTTTTGGGGGAGTGGTCACTTCATGTCTTAAATGACAAACAACTTCCATAAACAATAAATAACATTAGACTAAAGCACTTTAGCAAAAAAAAAAAAAAAACCAACAGCCCCAAACCTTGTAAAATCAGACATCTGTAAGCATTCCTAGCAGCCTCTCTCCTGCTTGTTAGCTGAGAATTTTAAATACACAACCAGGACACGGAATTCTTGAACTCTTTATTACAGCTGTCTCTGAATGTAAAATCTTAACCATTTGGGAGTTAATTCTTTATGAAAAATAGAGGTACCTGTGAGCATTTAAACTAAGCGAAGTAATTTTAAAATATGTTTTGCCAATTAAATTCCATTTCTGGAATTCTAAAATTAGGAAATAGACAGTTTTGCTAGGATAGAACATGTTAAAATTCTAGGAATCTGTAAACGAGTTAAAGATTTGCAATATGTACCAGAAAAAAAAAATATTTTTCATTATTCTTTAAAACACTACATTATGCTTGGAATTACTATGAAAGCTCCTTCCAAGAACATAGATAAAAGTAATACTACCCATGTAATTTTCATGTATTTGATTATTTAGCAGAATTATTGAAACTTGTGAAATATTCCTCTGGTAGCTTTACTGAAATGAGCATAAAACTGTGTGTATTACGTCCTGCTGATCTGTACACCTGATGTAGCACACAGAGGCTATGTAGTTTTTCATTGGTCAGAAAAAATATATTTAGTGATGAAAATTATATGATACTATGTTGTTATGTACGATGTGCAGTAGTATCTGTTGGGACTTCAATATTGGGAGTCAGCCTATGCTCCCTTAAAAAAACAGCCATTAGAAGTATTTTTCCCAGCTTTTAAATACCTTGGCATGGTCTCTGTGAAAAGTGTTTTAGATGTGTGTAATAAGAATTGGTGAACCAGACATGAAGATGCGTGTTCAAGCACACAGGGTTAAGTTTTTCTGTGTGGCTGGCAAGGACTAAAACTGCTACATGCGAGATTATCTCTCTTTTCATTGTAATGACTCTTTAATTCTCTACTTCTTAACATCAACATTTGGGAAGGGATTGCATCTGCAGAACAGGGGATCTTCCAGTATTGGGTGGAATTAGGTTATTCTGCAGCCCTGTGGCACAGCAAGCCCTCTGCAGACTTGTCAGGAGCATGTTGGCAGTGCTATGCTCCATACGTAAGGGAGCATGTAGGTAGGCGGGGGATCCAGCCCTCTCCCTGGCAACAAGTCATACTTCTACAAATGTCAGCTTTATGCCAGAAACTCTCCCAGAATGGGCTGCTCCAGAAATATCAGATGTGTGAGACAAGCCGTAGCGTGGTGACCAGTAAGGACATGTTATTAGCATGTTTTGTACAGGAAGCACACCCCTGGGTTGATGGCTCTGAGAACCTGATAGCTTCTGAGGGTGATCAGAGGGTTCTCAGCTTAGGCATCATATTGATGCCTTCCTCTTCCATGCTCTTATGAAACTCCATTCTCCCTCCTGAGACTTGAGCATCTCCCAAGTATTTGACAGTAGGCGTAGAATCAGCCCAATGGATGCCTCCTGCTATCTCCGTTTGAGGGGCTAAAGGTGTTTCTGCAGGATGTGGCTATCCTTCCTTTCTTATGGTATAATCAAATCTGCTTTACAAAGTATTTTCATAGTGGTTTTAGTAAGTCACACTGACTTTAAAAGATGGTTTGGTATAAAATGAGGACCCTAGGCTTCTGTCCTCTCCTAGCTCTGTCACTACATCATGTAACTGAGTGAACAAACATTCTCAGTTTGCATCATGTTGGAGACACCAATCCAGCTGGATGTTTTAAGTTTTGTTTCTTGCTTGCCAACTGATCTAAGTCTGAGAAAGAGTTGAAGAACTTCAGCATAAGGAAAAGTTGAAGAATTGTGGTTTTGAGAGCTTTTTATAAAGAGGTGCTCTAAAGGGGTGAAGTTACAGCACTGTGGCAGTGAAGAGGTACAGAAATGTTTCTGTAGTAGTAGTCCCTGAACTGGCTGACGACTGTATTTTTTTGTCCTGTGTAAAGGGGTTTGCCTCTACTCTTACACCATAGGCTAAAATCAGGTCTGTTTCTAAACATGGACCAGGTAAACTACCCAGGATTGCAACAGAAATCTGTGTACAGCAGTTTGTATTAAGTGTAGGCAAACTGCTTCAGGGTAGATAAGAACTAACAAATACATTTCAAATTCTCATATGATAAGCATTTGGGTTTTAAGTGTTTTGTTACTAAGTTTCTGTATTTTCATTCCCATTGTGCTTTCTTGGCATTGCCCAAAAATGAATGCTGCAGAACACTATTATAAATTCTTTTCACCAAAATTTCCAGTATGTGTTTTCCAGATAAAATTCTAGACTGACATTAAGATAGGAGGCAGGAAATCTATTTTATTTACAATAATATGCAGAATCTTTGTCATTTTTTGAACTGAAGATGAGCTTTGGCACAACTCGGGTAAGTGATGAATACATGCTATTTCCCACCTGTCTTTCCCTGAATGAGCTCACTACTTTAATGCCTTTTGAAGTCAGATTCAGTGACTGATTCTTGAAGAAATCAGCTAGCCTTTTGGGTCAGCTCAGTGAGCGCTGTCCAGTTACAAAAGATGGGGCACAGAAAATCGGAGATGTTTGCATGAAGAGCAGACAAATAAAACAGCTACTTTTCCCCTTCGTGGAACACTTCAGCATCCGATGCTGTCACTAGATATGTCCCTCTATATCATCATATATGAAGTTTTAGGGTATATACTGTATTTAGATTTACTGTTCTTTAAATCTACCTTTTGAATTCTCTTCTAGTGTGTTCATACTTTGTGGTTAGTATTACAATCCATCAACCCATATAGTAATTGCAAACTGTTTATGCACTTCTTTCCAATTAACAGCCTGAATATAGGATTCTTTCTTTCTTCCCAAACCTTTAAGGTCTTCTGCACAAACCCAATTTACCCAGGTTTTGCATGAGGGATCAAGAAACAATTGTAGTCTTGTGCATATCCAGTCCCCTGCCTTTGCTTGCTCCAATACAGCTGCTATAACCGTGTTAATTCAAGAGCATTA